TATCGCCTGAAATGAAAAAACATATCGTGATATGAAAAAAGCTTATATCGCCCAGCTCTACGTTGAATTCAAACATTGAACTACACCAGCATGTGTAAGCAGTGTTCCTGATCCAGGCTCTGTCGGCCTGTCAAAACAACAAACCTCCTGTCCTCCATCGGTGCAGGTCCCGCTGTCTTTGTGACCGGAGACGGGCAGACAGGGGTCACAGACGGAGTGGGAGTTCACCCACACAGAGCCAACTGACAAACTGGGAGGACACGAAGAAGAAATATTCATTTTAAAAAAGGAAATAAATATGAGTTTTAGCACTAAATGGACAGTCACGAGATGTGAAGCCGACCATGAAAGTCGATGTATTCGCTTTACACCGAGCAGGGTGGTTGTGAAGAAATGAGTGTATATGACAGTCAGAAGAAAAGTCAACAAATAAACGAAGAGAAGGAGGAAACAGACGGTTAGCAGAAGATTAACAGAAAGCAGACAAACGCACCTCTTAGCCGTCTCCAGAGCGAGCGTGAGGTCTTCGGTCCAGATGGATGCTGCCTGACCGTGAGGACTGTGGTTCCCTGCACAGGGAGGAAAACGTTACTCCGGCGCCGTATTCAACACATGGTCTCTGATCATGATGCAAATGCAACCCTTTAAAACCCTGAAACCTTTTTCACGTTGGTGTCTTATAGGAGACGCTTTCACATAAAGGTTCTTACCAAGAGTCACAGCTTCGGTGTTGCTTCTGAAGGTGATGAGGGGCAGCAGTGGTCCAGGGCAGGGGTCGAGCACACACGGTGAGGAGGGGGCCACCCCGCAGAGCACAGTGGGAGGATACTGGGCGCCTGAGGTGGGATCAGCACAGGACTGAACCAACTGAGAAGAGATTATTCAATGCTGGTTATGGTAAACTCAGAGGAAAATGAAGTGGTACACACCATCAGCAGACTGATCTACGGGAACCTTCAAGTTCGTTGAATCTTTTCCTGCATTAACATTTTCAAACCCTGATGATGTCTTCGTACTAACCGTGGCTCCCAGCTGCTGAGCTTCCTGCACAGCAGCATCCACCCGTTTCCTGTCTGCCTCACTGGGCAGGGTCACACATCTCATCTTGGCCATTCGCAACCTGAGATGGGCAACAACACTGTCCACCACACTCTCCTGCACACACAACACCCAGAAGACCTGCAGGCAGAGGGGAGGAGAGTCAAACAGGCTCAGGGATGTGTCGCTGGAGTAAGAGTCACCTCGTCGCTCTAGAAGCGTACCTCTTTCTTCTTCCTGAAGGCGGCCTCCATCACCTCATCCACGGCACTGTTAATATCTGCCGACTCAAAGATGATGAAGGGACAGGTGGAGCCTACGCACGGTGACACCGACACAGGAACTCCCATCCCTGCTGTGGCCTTACGCAGCATCACTCCGTCCTCAAACAGCAGGGAAACATCTTCTTACACACAGATCAACCATTTGGACTCTTTCACTCACAAAAAACACACACACAGTCGTGTTTTCATATCTTAGTGGGGACGTCTAATTGACATAATGCTTTCCCTAACCCTAATCATCAAAAATCAATGCCTAATCCAAACCACAACCTAACACCTGACACCAAAACCACATTAAGAGTCTCAAAAATGCCCTCAAACTCGAAGGGACAGGCAGGGGTGGGGAACTCCAGGCCTCGAGGGCCGGTGT